CCCACACCCACCCACACCCACACCCACACCCACACCCACACTCACACCCACACCCAACCAGACCCAGACCCACACCCTTCTCGACTCACCCTGAAAATTCTTATCACATTCTTTATTTCGGAAGTTTTTCTGTAGCCTGTTGATTCAATAGTACAAATTAATGCAGAGTTTTATGCCACTTGAAGAATCTGACCTTTTAGGAACGTCGAAACTATAGTCAAAGTAGCTAGATCTTTGCGCGCATCCAATCCCAAAGTTTTAAAACTGAATACACAAATACTTCTCAAGCCAAATGGATATTGTAACGGTACGTCATCTTTTAGCCGATAGATTAGTGAAATATTTTCTAACTTGATCTACTCGCCGATTCTCTCATTTTGCAGGCTAGTCGGATGGATCTCGTGGATCGAATACTCCACGATATTGCCACAGTTTGATCATGTCGAGTGCATTCGAAAACGAATAAGTGTCCACGATAAGATTACCTACCGCATTGGTATTAGTCGTAGTAGCTCCAGCAGTGACACAGAGTATCCTTGAATGTTTCCAGCACAGGAAATCATTTAGCGCCAATCCTCCTCCTCCTATTCCACCGTGACCAATAACATTCAGTCCTAGAAAAGGATGAACGATCGTTAATGACGCTGCACCATCTGCTAGCCATATAAAATGATGGGAACCAGAACCACTTACATGCACAAATATTGATGCACTAGCAACAAGCCGCACTTGTTCTAAAATAGGCATGTTGTCGAATATGACAATCTTCACAGCGCACAGCGTACGTTCACGCAGCATTTTGACGATTTTTTTTTCACTGTCAGGCACTATTTTCCTATTTTCACGGCGTTGTAGAACAAGAGCAATGCATACACCGGGTGACATATTAACTTGTCGTGGTATTTTATGAAGCGTCTTCACCGCATCACGATAACGAGATAAGTCGTTGTCTTTTAGATGAGCAACGTTATGTGCATATTCGAGTGATGACTGAAGTCGATATCCAACTATTAATTTCTCGAAACAAAGATGAGATTTTCGGTGTTTCTTGTGCTCATATATTAGGTCTTGTAGTTGTAATACAGGCTGATGAGACAATAATGAAAACGATGGACCAGCGAGTGAAGCATTACATCGATTGTCTAATATATATGCGACATTCATATCGAAAGCTGTAAAGTGGTCTGCTAAACTCCTTGTCGCCATCCATGCAGGAAGCATCATTTCAAGAAATATGTGTCCGAACACATTTACCCAGATACATGACATTACAACCGTTCCTTTCATCCAGTGTGTATATTCAGCACTTGGTAATGGTTTAAGTTGAGGAAAAAACAGGCTATTGCATCTTGAGACAATTGGAGCGTCACGAAACAATGAACCACGAGATCTAAGAGAAACACCACTCCAGTTGGAAAACGGTAAAGCAGATGTTTGCCAACTACCCGAATTGATATCATAACAAAGAGACTGCATGAAGAGACAGTTAGCGTGAATACCAGGATTGCTACAATATGCTGGTGATAGAGATGATAGTTTAAGCACACGTCTAGTTCTTGATTTAGGAACGTACAAACCAAACAATAACAAACAGATTATTACGAACCCATACAAAAAGTAATAGTGAGATGCTTTTATTACATTTATAACGCAGGAGACACAACTGTATGATATGCTAACCTGAGAGGAAGACTTATAGTGTCCTCTACAGTTATGAACACAATATCTCTCGCCATGTGTTAGTTTATGCTGATTCATCTCCAATTCTGATGTCACGTGAACACTGTCATCAGAAGACTTTCATTTAAATCAGATACTGAAAAACTTTAGCTTTTCAATAGTTTTATCGAGAATAAAATCGCTTAGAAAACTAGCTAGGATACCAAATTTTTATGACTTTTAAGCAAACTTTTTTTGAGCCTTTCTCGATCTGGTTGGTTTTACACAGAACACCGATCGATCAGGAGCCATCATTTTAATGACATGTTTTTCTAAAAAACTTTTCGTTGCAAAAGATTCATCAAGCGTAATACTACTAGGAACGCGTCAGGCTGGGTGCCTCGCTTGTGTCAATCCTGAAAGTCTTGAATCGGAAGTCATAAAAACATTGGCTGTCATCTCCGAAATATTATAATGAATGTTCATATTTATCAGGTATCTCAATTATAATTTACAAGTTTTTTCATGAACCCTTTCCTTATACGGACATCCGTAAGAACCATAGAACTACAATACAATCTAAATTGTAATTTCGGGGGTTTCTTTTTGAGTTCTTCATGAACTTTTTATTTAAGTGTAATACATCATTTCTAACTATGATATATTACAGTCGAATCCTTCAAAGGAGCCTCTAATAGATTTACAATTCACTTTCCCATCTATCTATAACTGAACTTCTAAAAAGATTTTTCTTGTGTGTATCATCCGTCACTGACTTATTCACTTTTCTGAGAAAACCTTACACAGCGGTTAAAATTGGATGAAATGTGATTGTCTGTCTCTCTTTCCGTCTATCTATTCAAGTGAATCGGAACTGAGTACCAGTTAAACCAATGAAAATTTCACAATACCTTTTTGGTAATATTCTTGACTAAAGTAGTCGAGGACGGAGAGTTCGAATCTGTGGTCAGTTTTATATTTGACGTTATGCACACAAACAAGGGCTCGTATCGAGAGTGATTTATGAAATTTTTCGTTAGAATGACAAGAAAAATATTTTTTGAATAAATTGTGGAGACAGTATTCACCACATTTCAGAGATTCACCTAAGAATCGTGAAGTCGGCTTACTAGGTAAATGGAAATCAAATGGGTAAACTTTTCCACACGTCTTTATTTATTTCGTTTTGTATAGTACTATAAAACCGCAACAACAGTTTTCTAAATGCTTCCTAGAACTTTGCAAGCATTTGATAGTCCTCTACGGAACTTAAAAAACTCTCAAAAGAATCACGAGTTTCGTAGTTTTCTCAAACTATAACGAAAGTTTTATTTAATGCTATCATACCGTCGATTTATCTTGAGGGTGTGGGTGTCGATGTGGGTTTAGATCGATAAAAGACACCCACACCCACACCTTTCGAGATGATTTATTTCCTTTCCAGATTTTTTATAAGCCTAACTTTAATATTCCGGATTTTTCCTATTCCAGATTTTTCTTTTTCCGGATTACTGGACATATTCACTATCATTATCATCAATAGGGAACGGCGGGATTGTCTCGATCCCTATTTTTTTCCCAAACCCGTCGTGATCGGAGTTGGGATCGGGATTGATGACGTCACGGGACCAGGACTGAAAATCCCGACCGCTGCTTCAACGCGTTCGGGATCGGGACGGGATACAACTTTTCGGGACTTAGCTAACTATACCTTATCGAAGTGCAATTCTTTTTTATTCAAAAATTGAATATAATCTTTCATAAAAATAAAACTAAAATACACGTGTATACATCTCATGAAAAACAATGTTCGTAAGATAAATAAATAGGTAAGGTTGAAGAAAGAATAAGTTTTGATCACTCTTTCAGTTCATCTTCACTTGATACGGTGTTATTATTTCCAGTTCGATACTTCTTCGATACGGAAGGTGTCTCCTGTTCACCTTCATGCTCGTCGCTCGACTTCTATTCATTGATTGACTTTCATTTCTCTCTTTGATCATATAGATTTGTCCTTACTGATCTTGTCTTCGATCTTTCTCGCTTCACTTTTAATGTATTGAGATGTTTTATCAATCTCAAATATACGCTCTCTTTTCGGCTTGATCGATTAGTTTGATATAGCATCTGACTGAAAGAACTCAGAATACTATAATATACGCTTCACCGTCAGCTTTCCATCAACAAATCGTAATACTATGAAATAATATCGAGTTGGATCTTATTCCACATATGCATTTAAAAACTATTTCTAGTAGATCAAAAAAAATCGGGCTTAAACGGAACTGGGGCGGGTTTCCCTGTTAGAAAGCGGGACCGGGATCCCGAAAGAGTATTTGACAGGGATCGGGACCGGGACGAGTTTCATTCAAGTGGGACCAAATCGGGATTGGGACGAAAAAACCTGGTTCCGCCGCTCCCTACTCTTCAAGCTCAACTATAAGCATACATAATTGTATTTCCGCCTAATAAGTTATAACACTTAATATAATTATCCTCTTACTTTTACAGTTAAACAAATGCATGTAGCCCTTTGTTTCTACTTCAAATATACCTTTTACCTAACGCTCATCCTATATCATTATTATCATCACTCTCAGCTTATTTTTATCTTCAAATCTGTCCTCATATCCCAATTAGGCCTGGCACATTTACTTTACTTTTACTTTAACCCTTAAAAGCCGAAGGGGGTTCCTGTGAAGTTCAAGTAGAATTAATCATATAAATAGAGATTTTGAGCCCTCATGTGCACTTACCGTGGTTAGAATTGCTGGGTGCGACTAAAAATTTTTTCCACCCAAATGGCCTGGGTGGAATATGACCTTCATAATTTTTTGTGCGCTTGAGTTTCTAACATGGTTCAGAATCACTGTAAGTGCATTCTGATGATATTTTAACATATCTCGAATCATCTGTTGAGCGAAAAATTCACAATAATCGTGATTACTATGCCCAAAAATGTCATTAAAATGGTACTTTTTTATAACCTCAGAATACCTAAGTAGAAGAGTTAAAAGAGTGCAAAATTGTTCTAAACTATAGTTTAGGATTACTTCTAATGATATCACTCAGAATCTATATTGTATATATCAGGATATATCAATATCCGAGTAACCAATTGTGCTTGGAAAACTATACATTCTAAGAGCTAGGTTTGGGCGTTTGACAACGGTTTCGGCATAATGTTGTTCCATCATACTTTCACTATGACTGTCTTCGTCCTTAAAAACAGTAGCTTTTGCAGAAAAGACTTTATTCCTTTGTTCTATAGCGTTTAATGCAATGTCCATTGGAATGGACATACGGCTTTTAAGGGTTAAGCAAATATGGTAAAGTAAATAAAATATTTACTATTTACTTTTGTAAAGTAAATAAGGTTTTAATAGTAAATATAAATTTTTCTTCTACTGCTCGTTTAAATTTGTAAGATAAATAAATTTCTACATTGAAATGATACACTATGTACTTCTTTCTTCCACGGTACGCTACATTGTATTCTTTTATGAGAAGTCCTGGTGCATTACTGAACCAATACTATCATTGAAAAATAGGGTGTACACATCACTTGACTTGCGAATACCAACAGTCAATTAGTCATTTAATCGCTGTTATTAAGTTACAGCTCCTCAATTAATGGGTGTATTATTAAAAATTGAATTATCCAGCAGTCAAAATAATATCAATAATATTTCATCTCAATTTTTTCGCCAAGATAAAGTTATCCCATAAAAGTTAGTCTTCTAAACTTTTATGCCTCTATTCTAAGAGTTGACCAAAGGGTGACTGGGATCGAGGAATCTGAATCTGGTATTAGTTTATAAAAAAATTTTGTTATATGATACTAATATAGTGCATCAGTGGCTTGTTTTCCGATACAAATTGTTATTGTCAAGAGGTTTAATTTCAGTAGTCACAGTCTACTGAACCTCGTACAAAATGAAGGAATGTGAAATCTCATAGATTTCGGTTGAATTCAAAAAGATTTCGGAGAATGACATCACATCGTAGTCTGTAGTACTAAAATTCCAGTGTGTAGTATACTGAAATTAGATAAAGTTCGATCATCGACTAAAGTTAATTATCAGCATTATAACTATCCCATGTCGTAAAAATCGGGGCAAAATCGACGATTTAGCCGCGATTTAGTACCCGATTAATTGTGAGATTTATCACGATAAAATCGACCAATTTGGCGATTTTGCACGATTTAATCGCAATATATCGAGTTTTTTTTAAGAGTACAAACGATTCATTTCACCCCTCCCATTATAATCTCACCCCAGGTCGAATAATCTGATACTAATATCAGTCACACATTCTTGCATGACCCTACCAGATCTTATACTAATACCGTATATGATCATACAAGATCATACGGAAAAGAATGTAGTACATCTCTATGTCTGTATCCTTATGAATCTATATATATATATATATTTTTACCTAAACCTTAATTGGTATATCCATATACTTATATCCACATGGATATATCTATTTACTTACACCCACATGGGTACTTATAAATATTTAAATATCCACATGAGTAGTTATCAAAACATACATACTAACCTGGGCACTTATAAAAATTTATACCCACATGGGTATTTCATTTTACTTATACCCTCATAGCTATATCTCTATACTTAAACCCTTATGGGTATATCTATTTATGTATACCCACATGGGTATATATAGATACTTATATCTTCTTGGGTAGGTCTTTTTACCGCTATCAGAGCTGCTGTCAACCATTTGTTGATACTTGAATATTTTTTTATTTCTTTTTTTTGTTTTTGTTTTATCACTCTCTTCAAGTTTATGGGATGAGAATAAGACATTTTCAAACAGAGGAGATAAAATAGATGTGATTAATTGAGAGTAGTAACGAATAAGAAAACTTCATGGATCCAATGGAAAGTCATTGAATACAGTTAAAAGATGTTAAAGAAAGCAGGAAAATAAACATGTACACGTATATCAAGCAAGCAGGTATCAACGTCTGTTTTCTATTGACTAAACCCTATTAATCAGTAAATAATTATTTTTAAACTTCTATTCTATAGCATGTGGCATTTAGTATTAAGTCAACTGTAGCTTGAGAAAGTCTTCAGTATTCCTATTTTCCCTTCTCTTAATCAAAATATAATAAATTAAATAAAACATGAACTTGGTCTCACTTTCATAATAATATAACAAAAAATCGTCAATTAATCGCGATTAATTGGCGATATTTTTTAAGCCGCGATTAATCGACGAGTTTTCCTAAAAGTCAAATCTTGTATTCATTTTCCAAAAAGATCGTCGATTAAGCGCGATTAATCGTGAATATTTTGAAAAAGAAACATAGGGTATATATTTAGGTTATACACAAATAACAATCAATGGAAATATAAGTATAGAAGTTTCTTCTCCGTTATGAATTTAATTAAAAGACATCAGAAAAGAGTAAGCGATATTGCTTATTTATAATGATGTGATGAAGAAAAACTAAGTAGATTGCAAAAATAGAAGGAACAGAAGGAAAAAAAAGCACTGGATGACGTATATGAATTACAGAATAATTCACTAAATTGAATTCCAAAATAATTCCAACTTCTATGAAGTATATGACTATATATATATAGATACTACTTATATTGAGCAGGGTCTACAAGGGTCTACCAGGGTCTACAGGGTCTTCAAGGGTCTACAAGGGTCTACAGGGTCTACCAGGGTCTACCAGGGTCTACAGGGTCTTCAAGGGTCTACAAGGGTCTACAGGGTCTTCAAGGGTCTACAAGGGTCTACAGGGTCTACCAGGGTCTACCAGGGTCTACCAGGGTCTACAAAAACGCTTAATCATGTGAGTACCCATGTAAAAAAAACGTAAAAAATCCGATTTCCATGGATTTTTCGATGATGAAAAATAGATTTTAACGGGACGATTTACATTGGATTTTTCGTTACCAAAAAACCAATTAAAATCTTTTTTTTCTGAAAAATGAATAGAAATCGATTTTTATGAATCTTCTTAAAATAATCGGGGCCATCAATATTCTTGGATAAATGAGTGAATATCGAGCTATATCGTACTGGGAAATATGATAAGAGTATCACAAGTTGCTCTCCCGTTGTACTCATTATTTGTCGATGCAAGGATTCTGAAACCAAGGTCGAGAATAAGAGTGCTGCGTTCCCGTTTCGTTCCAAGAAACGGGAACGCGACATAAGTTCCTAAGAACGGGGAACGTGAGTAGAAGTAAGGCAGCTCTGGTTCGTTACTTGATTGGAGAGTGTCGTTCGCGTTCTAGTTTCTAAAAAAGTGTAAATCGAATATCGTTCGCGTTCCTAAGAACGGGGAACGCGATGACCGTTCCATTTCCTGGAAACGAGAACGCGAGTACCGTTCCCGTTCTAAAAACGAGAAACGCAAAACATGTTTCGATAGCTCAGAACGTGGGGATACATATTTTGTGCTATCAGTGTTAAATTAGCATGCTACATGTATGACATGATTCAAAATCCAATAAAGATATTTTTGATTCGTTTAAATTCCATATGATCATCTCGATAGATGGTAAGATTATCAATAACTATATATTAAGACAAATGTTATCTTGAATAAGCGTAAGACTGATTATAATATAATAATGGTTGCTTGAATAGATAATTTTCATGTCAAAAAAATACAAGAGTAGTTTTACAATTAAACAAGACTAGCCACAATGTTAGTATCTTTTTTCGTTCATGTTTTCTTTAACGTGTTCTATCGTCTTTTACACACATTAGTATATCCACTACGTCATTTTTTCGGAAAAAATCTATCTAATCTTATTTTCTTCGTAAAGGTCAACCATACATAACAAATGGTCTGAATTTTGAAAATATTCTTAGCAGTCTCTTCTATAGTGATTACACAATCAACAGGAGTCTATATTAAACCTTTTAATGCAATAATCGATCATACAGACAGTTCTCTTCACACAAGCAATTCATGGACGAATTCAGTAATATCGGCTACTTTTAAAAAGCATCCTGAATTTTTTCTGATAAAATCCAGAAACTTCAGAAGATTATTATGAGTTCTAGAGAGTGAAGTAGTTATCAAACTCGGGCTCTAAAAAAATCTGAACGCATTTTGAATTCTTTATATCCTAATAATGGGCAAAATGAGATTGCGTTCCCCGTTCTTAAGAACGAAGAACGCATATTCCGTTCCTGTTCTCTAGAACGGAGAACGCGTATACCGTTTCGTTACCGTTCTCGAGAACGGGGAACGTATAAAATTCGTATATAAAAGGATGAAAAAAAAGCATATAAACAACTCTGTATGTTTAAAAAATACTAGAAAACACAGTTTGCGATGCGTTCCCCGTTCCTAGGAATGGGGAACGAACACTAATTTCGTATATGAAGATGCAAAAACATGTATACACAACTCGATATGTTCAAAGAATACCGTAAAACGGAATAAGAATTCCATTCGCGTTTCGTTCTGAAGGAACGCTTTAGGAACGGGAACGCAGCACCCCTAGTCCTAATGTATTAATGTCGTGACGAATTAATTTTACATAACTACTTCTATTTGTTCCTAAAAAACAACAATAACAACAATTCAAATCTATGTTATCTTTACAAAATTGGCAACCTGAATTATTTTTTATACAATTTTCTTTATTCAGATTTTTATTTATCTATCGAACTTTGAGTTTATGACATTTTCTTACATTAAAAAAGTACAAAGATAAAAACCAGTTAAAATAATTAATTTAATTATATCAAATATCACAATATAAATTATGAAAAATATAATCAGTATTAAAATAATTAGTTTTTTCCAACATATAATATTATCTATTTTGTTTAAAACCTGAACAAAAACATTTTTCTAAACTTTTTCTAGCTTGTTCGATTTTTAAATCTTGATAAATATAAAAATATTTTTTAACCTAATAACTTTCTTATAAACAATGTAAACTGATATTTGAAAAATGTCAATTTTAAGTATGGTCTAGGATCAATAATCAATATTATCGATAAAATCAAACAGAATATTTTTTACTCTCTAGTTAAACATGTTTTTATAACATAAATAAAATTCATTTTCCTATTGAATGATATTTCTATATTTTAGAAATCTATTTATTCATCAATATTTCTATATATCATTCTTCATTTTCATCTTTAAAAATATATTATTGCTCATATTTTTATTACAAAAAAAATGATATATATATATATATATATTTATGTATATTCATATGAATACAATGTAAAATTTATAAAGAAAAAAATCACATTATCAAAATAATAACCTCACTGAATCATAATTAAAACTAATGAGAACTAAAAAGTGACACGTATTTCATACAAATCCTTAATATTCAAATAATAAAAACAATAAAAACAGTATGAGTGTCTAGATTATTTTCCCAACATACCTGTTTTACCAACAAGTAATGAACCTTGATTGAGCAATACCATTAAATTGCTCGAATTTTTGATGAAAGAACGATTGGATATTGAACCTAAAGCAGTTATAGTAACGAATACAAGTGTATCTTGTCGTAAACCAAATAATTCATATTGACGAAAAACTCGTCGTAAATATTCATGACTAATAATATCATGTACATTCAATTGTTCACGTTTATTAAGTTCATGAAGATTATGTGCTAATTATTGACTATAGTCAACTGATGTTGCAAGACGTGTTCGATTCATTGAGAATAATCTAAAAATGAAATAGTGTATTTTTTGAAAAGTTAAATATTTTATTAAAGAAAAAGAATAATATTTTAATCTCACGATAGCAAAAAATGAAAATCATGTATTCATTTTATGATATTCTTAATATAAAAATTCTTAGATATATAATTATTTATTCATATTTTGAACTATTAATAATGTATTTTATGTATATTTTAACATATTCATTGTAAAAGTATTTTGCTCCAATAGATTTCTCGTTAAAATCTATCTATTTTATTTATGTTACACAAAAAATGAATTATTTATTATTTATCTTAATAGAATAGAATGTATGTAATTGTGTAGATAATAAAGTTTGCCGTTGTTATTCTTTTAAATATATAGTATTCGTTTGACGTAATCGTCAACGCTTGTTTGCCATTACAAACAATTTCTTTTCATCTGTACAACAAATGCTCTCAGAAGAATACATATGAATTTTCAAAAACAATTCGCATGAAACTGTGAAGATAATAATGAACTGTTTCTATTCATCAAAAATACGATCTCTAGATAATAGAACCATGTATCAGTACATTCTATTACATTATACCTTTTTTTTTGTTACGAAGAAAAATATTATGTTTTATATGTAGAATATTATCATAATAGACGCAAGGCGCCATTATACATTCTTATACTTTTAAACGTTCATATCATAAGGCTTTTACAATGATTCAAGTGATGACAAAAAGGTTAATTCTTAAGAATGATTATATTATAATATGTTTTACGAAATGTTATATATAAATTTCATGTCATTTGAAAACATACTGATTAATTTTCTCTCTACATAACTAAGGAAAAAAAGAAAGAATCAATCAATTGATTACCATAACCTCTCTTCTATATTTTTAGTCGATGTAAATTAAATGAAATATGAATATGAAATGTTAAAATTCAATTCTATTTTCGACATTCAAATAATCGCAACTAGTCTCTCATATCATAGATAGTCATATGACTTTTGATGGTCTTAAATGCTTCTTGCGTCATATGCATTTAAAATCAATGAAGTGATCTGATTCATCAACGTTAGAAAACAAAAAATAAAAATGATTTTGTGATAGCAAAAGAATGATCATATTTTAATAATAACCATATTCTTTATTTCTCTTAATAGAATGTAGCAACGCATTTTGAAAATTCAATGAAAGGAATATTAAACATATTCGATCGATATTATTTCTTTCGTAATCGATACATCTAAGAATAATTATTTACTTTCTAGTCGAATGTTAAATTCTATACTTAGCATTGTGCAAACACTCACATTCATCTTAGATACCTTTAGTACTTTACTATTAGCAATTGCATATAAACATAGTGCATATTATTTCAATTTTTATGTACGACGATACACTGAAAAAAAATATTTATAAGAATCAAATATTATCATGCACAAAAATGAAATAATTCTTTTCAAAAAATTAACGTAAACCAAATAAAATAACATAATTTGATGACTAAAAATTCCCACACCCTTCATTCATTCACAATGCTCCATTAGTCTTTATTATTATCGATAAGAAATATTTGATATATTTTAACAACTTTTCCAATAGATGACGTAAAACGTTAGAGTAATTATATAGAGAATTTTTTTTATCATATTCATAACGTATTGTTTATATACTGTAATTTGATAGCATGTAGCTTGAGTTTTACTCACATAATATTTTTATTGCATTCATAGAGGAATGAAAATATTATTTAAAGAAATTTATTTCATATATAGATGTATACCAATATGGTTTACACTTTTGTTTGATTAGATTTTTCCTTGCATGCATACTTGAATATAATCCGTTGGACCAACGTTGTTATCCCCTTAAAGTTCGACTATATCAATAGTAAAATAATTCAGATAATTTTCTGTCTTTCATGATTCAATAATTCTTGTAAAAAGTTGCAAATTAAAATTTTTAAACTTATCGAGCGGTATATAAATATCTTTTGTTATAAGCTTGTTGACCTTAGTAAAACCTTATAGACCCTGGTAGACCCTGGTAGAGCCTTGTAGACCCTGGTAGATCCTGGTAGAGCCTTGTAGACCCTGGTAGACACTGTAGACCCTTGTAGACCCTGGAGGACCCTGTAGACCCTGGTAGACCCTTGTAGACCCTTGTAGACTCTGTAGACCCTGGTAGAGCCTTGTAGACCCTGATAGACCCTGCAGACCCTGTAGACCCTGGTACACTGAAAAAAAATCGGTAGAATGATCAACGTTTTAAGCGTTTATCAAGTTGCAACGAATAAAATACCCTTTTCTACCGTTTATCAAATTGTGCTGAATCCTTTGATCTACCCCAAAAAA